CCAGTTCAGGATCCCTGGGGCTGCACAAATTGGGGCTGGAGGAGGTTGAATTGGGGGCCTGAAGACACCCCCACCTAACTGTATCCACCCCCCTGTCTCGGGAAGGGAGCTGACCCCCGGGTGACCCCGGACCTGGAAGAGGGATCCCCCAACAAGCTGTGGGTAGAAGAACCAGTCCCGCTGGTGCCCCCAAACCCTTCAGTCCTGGGACGCCCCCCGCTCCCGCAGTCTCCCCCCTTCTCCCGCCCGGTGGCCTCTCACCGGCACAAGAGCGGGACTTCCAGATTTTGAGCAGTAGCAAGATGATGGCTAAGAGGTGGGAGAGGTCTCCCAGGAATCGGAAAAGATTCATGGCTGGGGGGCTCTGGCAGGGCTGAGCTGCAGAGAGGCAGGCGGGCGGGGGCGGCCCCCCGGGCTGCTGTACTGGCCGGGCGGTGGGCTGGGGGTCGGGAGAGGGCTCCTCGGGTGGGCTCCGATCCGGGGAGGGGTCCCTAGGAGGGGGGGCCGAGGCCCGGGCGGGGCACGTGTTCTCTGGCGCCCCCTATCGCCCACCTCTTGCCTTGCAGAGTCGGCTCTGAATGGACGCTCAAGGATACCTCGGAGGAACTCGGGGGGTCGCCGGATTCTGAAACTTCTATATCCAGTACCTGCTCCCCCAAACAGTCTATCTCTGTAAGGACGCAGTCCATCCCGTCTCTACCCTTGACAGACTGGCCTCTGAGCGTGGAAAATCCTGGAAAGTGGCCCAGAGGCTGGGGCGCCGGGCTCTGGCCCCCCGGGGCCGCCCCCCCCCACAGAAGGCAGCCCCCCAGCCGCGGCTCTTTTAGACCCAGAAGTCCCAGGATCAGCCCCCTCAGACCCAGGAGTCCACACACCCGCGCCCCCCCCCCTCTCCTCCTTCCCCAGACCCAGGAGTCCAGGTCCCCAACCCCTCCTCTCTTAGACCCTGAGGTCCCAGGCCCTCTCCTCGCAGTTTAGGGGTCCAGGCTTCAAGCCCCTCCTACAGAACCTAGAAGTCTGGGACCCCAGGCCTTCCTCCCTTAGACCCAGGAGTCCAGCCCCCCAACCCTTCCTCAGACCCCCTCCCTCGAAACTAGGGTACCATCCCACTCATGACTCAAGCATTTTAACTTTAGGAATCTAAACCCACGATCCCTTTCTTCCCCTAAAACTCACAAAATCAGGTCCCCAACTCTTTTTTTTAGAGAGAAGATTCTTCAGGACCAGCAGATGTCATAGTGGTTACATCTCTGGATTCCCACATAGTGGACCGCGGTTCAAGTCCCAGACCCAGTGACTTAAAACACACAGGGCACGTGTGTGTGTGCGCCGAAAATCTCGAGAGGAGAATGGACAGGAAAGAACTGCAGTGTGGCTATCTCCCTTGAGGGGGTAATTTCTCGATTTCCATCTCTCTGTCTCTGTCTCTCTGGTGAGTGCACATGCCCTATAGCAACAACCTCTCTCAAAATAAATACATAAATAAAAGAGAAATGTGAGTCTTCACCCTACCCTCCCAGACCTTGGGGGTGGGGGTAAATAGAAGGCGCCCCGAGGAGGCTCAAGGGCAACACTGAGACCCAAACTACCCAAGGCCTTTGGCTGCTCTAGAACTGCCCCTCCACACACACACACACTCTCTCCCAACCTCTGTCCTCAGGCCCAGGCGTCCTATGGCACACTGTCCCCCAGAGCTGCAGGGTGGCTTTCTAGCAGGGCCAGTCCTCTCTGGCAGGAGCAGCAGGGTGTACAGCTGGCCTCCGGGCCGGCTGTAGCCCAGACTGCTGGCTGTGGGGTGGTAGATATTGCTGTCCTGGATGATGGAGCACCTGTGAGTCATGGAGACCAGGTTCCTCAATAAGAGAGGTCCAGAGGTATTGGTCACCCCGGAGGGCTGTGTGGACTGGGTGCCCACGGGTGACCCTTAGGCCCTGAGACTGGTCTCTGCTGTGGGAGGATCAGGATGTCTGAGTACCTGAAAGGGACATAGGTTTGGAGGGGCCTCAGATTCTTGGGTCCCAGTGGGGGACTCTTGGGTCTGAGGGAGGCAGGGCTGGGGCTGGGGCTGGGGCTGGGCTGGGGCTGAACTCCTGAGTTCCAGGGAGAAGGGGCCTGGAGCCCAGACTCCCCGGTCCGAGGGAGGAGGGGCTGAGGCCAGGACGCCTAGCTCTGTGATGAGACCTAGTTTGCAAGCCTGGCCTTCTGGGGCAATAAAAGCCAAATGATGGGTCTTAGCATGGCGGACACTGAAGTCCTGCTCCCCAAGCCGCGTAGTGGGGAGGGGGCAGAGGGCAGCCACCCTCAGCCCCGGAGTCTGGGTCTAACGCTGATGTCTCCACACCGATCTGAGTCCCCGCCTGCCCCTCTTCTTCCTCCCTTTTCATTTGCAGCCCCTCACTCCCTCGTCCCAGGAAGAAGGTGGAGGCTGGGAGAGGGTGGGGGGCAGCCCCCTCCCCCAGCCCTGGCAGGAGGAGGGGTCCCTAGGGAGGCCAGGAGGGGGGGCTGTGGGTCTCCCGGCAGGGGCGGACGGGGACTGAATGTTAATCGCATCCCGAGCGAGTGTGTGTGTGTGCGAGAACAGAGCGAGCGTGCGAGTCCCTCCCGCTCCGGCTCCTCCAAGCCGCGGCCGCCACTGCCACCCTCCCCGCCGCCCTGAGACCCAAACTACCCAAGGCCTTTGGCTGCTCTAGAACTGCCCCTCCACACACACACACACTCTCTCCCAACCTCTGTCCTCAGGCCCAGGCGTCCTATGGCACACTGTCCCCCAGAGCTGCAGGGTGGCTTTCTAGCAGGGCCAGTCCTCTCTGGCAGGAGCAGCAGGGTGTACAGCTGGCCTCCGGGCCGGCTGTAGCCCAGACTGCTGGCTGTGGGGTGGTAGATATTGCTGTCCTGGATGATGGAGCACCTGTGAGTCATGGAGACCAGGTTCCTCAATAAGAGAGGTCCAGAGGTATTGGTCACCCCGGAGGGCTGTGTGGACTGGGTGCCCACGGGTGACCCTTAGGCCCTGAGACTGGTCTCTGCTGTGGGAGGATCAGGATGTCTGAGTACCTGAAAGGGACATAGGTTTGGAGGGGCCTCAGATTCTTGGGTCCCAGTGGGGGACTCTTGGGTCTGAGGGAGGCAGGGCTGGGGCTGGGGCTGGGGCTGGGCTGGGGCTGAACTCCTGAGTTCCAGGGAGAAGGGGCCTGGAGCCCAGACTCCCCGGTCCGAGGGAGGAGGGGCTGAGGCCAGGACGCCTAGCTCTGTGATGAGACCTAGTTTGCAAGCCTGGCCTTCTGGGGCAATAAAAGCCAAATGATGGGTCTTAGCATGGCGGACACTGAAGTCCTGCTCCCCAAGCCGCGTAGTGGGGAGGGGGCAGAGGGCAGCCACCCTCAGCCCCGGAGTCTGGGTCTAACGCTGATGTCTCCACACCGATCTGAGTCCCCGCCTGCCCCTCTTCTTCCTCCCTTTTCATTTGCAGCCCCTCACTCCCTCGTCCCAGGAAGAAGGTGGAGGCTGGGAGAGGGTGGGGGGCAGCCCCCTCCCCCAGCCCTGGCAGGAGGAGGGGTCCCTAGGGAGGCCAGGAGGGGGGGCTGTGGGTCTCCCGGCAGGGGCGGACGGGGACTGAATGTTAATCGCATCCCGAGCGAGTGTGTGTGTGTGCGAGAACAGAGCGAGCGTGCGAGTCCCTCCCGCTCCGGCTCCTCCAAGCCGCGGCCGCCACTGCCACCCTCCCCGCAGCCTTCCTCGGCCACCGGTGCCCGGCTGGGGGTGTCAGCCTGGGTGGGTCTGCCCAGCCCCCAGGGGTCTGTCGTGCATCTGCCATCTGCCCGGTGAGGATCTGTGTGTCCTGGTGTCTGGGGCCGGCTGGCGGAGGGGGGGTGTGTCTGTGTAAAGGCTGCGGCGGCCGAGGGAGGGAGGGGTTTGTCTGTCTGCACCGACCCGGAGCCACCTGCCTGGGTGTCGTGGGTCCCCCAGTCCTCCCGAGCCTCCCCTACCCGGATGGATGGTGTGTACCTGGGTTCTGTGCCTCCTGCCTGCATCCGGCCAGGCGTCTGGGCGTCCCCTCTGCCCGTGTCCTCCTGTCTGTCCATACAGCCCCGGACGGCAGTGGCAGCCTGGCCCCCTTAGACCCGTGTGTGTGTGTGTGTGTGTGTGTGTGTGTGTGTGTGTGTGTGTCTCCCTTCCTCAAGCTCCGGGGGTGCTTGAGGGGGAATCCCGAGGAAGTGAGGGTGTGCGTGTGTGTGCGTGTGTGAATGTGTGTGTTTCTGCCTGTGTTTGAGAGTGGGGGCGCCAAGGGGGGGTCTGGAGGTGGCCAAGCGAGGAAGGGGTAAGCAGTTCCCCAGATAGGCGATCTCCCGCTTTTCACACACACACACACACCAGCCACGGCTTCAGAGGTGACCCA